ACGTGCAGCCCACAGCGGGAATAGCTGCAGGGGCCTCGCGGAAGCGCCAAGGGCTGGCTGAAGGGAGAGACCCATTCTGCTGTGGAAGGGGGGGGTGCGTTTACCCACCCCCCACATGCACAGTGGCACGCGCTCAGGACTGAGCTTCTGAAAAGGTGGGTGGGGGCAAAGGAAAGAGCTGACAAAGGAACAGAACAAATTCTGGGGCCGAGCCCCCCCCCCACACACACACACTGAACCTCAGCTACAAAAATGAGCGCGAAACACTCCCGCTTTGAGGAACATTTCACACGTGGGTTGATGCTGCCGCAGTGGGGGAGGCCTGGGGGTTTGGCTCGTCTGAGCTTCTGAAAAGGTGGGTGGGGGCAAAGGAAAGAGCTGACAAAGGAACAGAACAAATTCTGGGGCCGAGCCCCCCCCCCACACACACACACTGAACCTCAGCTACAAAAATGAGCGCGAAACACTCCCGCTTTGAGGAACATTTCACACGTGGGTTGATGCTGCCGCAGTGGGGGAGGCCTGGGGGTTTGGCTCGTTCTGCCTCCTGAAATCATTTTGTAAATGTTTGCACCACCCTGGACGCTGACTGACTTCACAACCCACCACCTGAAGAGGGGTGTGTGTGTGTGTGTGTAGGGAGGATGCACGGGTATGGGGGGAGGGTGTGTGTGTGTGTGTGTGTGTGTGTATGCTGTTTACACTGCATGTCATTTTATACAAACACAGGGAAAGCCAAACAGCACACTGAACTACAGATCCCAGTTCAAGGTCTTGGTCTCAGCATCCAAGCTCTCCATGGGATTGGTCCTGGCTACCAGAGAGATCTCATCCCCCTCGCCTGCACCCCGACCTGGACTTCCCCAGCAACTATATTCCAGAGGAACAACAAAACTTCCAGCCAAGAGCAGGATGCACTGAGCCAGGATCTACCGAGAAGCTGGTACTTAGACTGTGGAACTCCCTGCCACATGAAATAAAATACCTCACCCCGCTGAGCGCTAAATACAGCACCATTGGCATGTCCTAACGGACTCACTTTTTAAAACCTAGACACCTTCTCACACGCAGGCCAGGAGGAAAAATCTCACTGTTATTTAGAGCTAGGCCGGCCTCACATGGTCCATGTCATGAGCAATTCCGTGGTTCTGGAAGGTTGGCTGTTCTGCAACAGAACCGAGCTGGGAATTAAATGTCCCATGCTGCAAAGTTCTTAAGCAACTGAATTCTGGGTTGAGCAAAATGTTTCGTTTTCAGAAATTCAGAACCGTTTGTTCTGCTTTCGTGTGGGGCAACCCGTTATGAACTAGACCCCTTCCTTCCCCCCCCGCCCTAGACTTGCCTTCAGAAAAGTCGTTTTGAAATGAAAACTCCAACAGGTGAAGCAGCCCGTTCGGAATCTGTCCCCATGGAATGTTTCGGTGTGATCAGAATGCAGCGGAAGGAAACGTCGCTGACATGTTCAGTTTAGCCCTATCCTACGCCCTCCAGCTGTGGCTGTCTCCCAAACCCTGGGATCCCCCTCAGAGCTGCGGCCTTCACGCTCCTCCAGCCCTGGCTCCAGGGAGCTGCTGTCCCAGCAAGGGGCACTGGGCTCGGGAGCTGAGCAAGCCTCAGAACAGAGGTTTCACACAGCGCACAGTCAACCTGTGGAACTCCTTGCCTGAGGAGTTTGTGAAGGCTAGGATTATAACAGGGTTTTAAAATGGAACTAGATAAATTCATGGAGGTTAAGTCCATTAATGGCTATTAGCCAGGATGAGTAAGGAATGGCATCCCTGTTTGTCAGAAGGTGGAGATGGATGGCAGGAGAGAGATGGCTTGATCATTACGTCTTCGGTTCACTCTCTCTGGGGTACCTGGCACTGGCCACTGTCGGCAGACAGGACACTGGGCTAGACGGACCTTTGGTCTAACCAAGTGTGGCCGTTCTTACGTTTCCGAAGACAGGGAAGCCAGATCAGACATTTCAGGCTCCAGTGCTATTCTCCGGAGCCTTTTTCCAAATGCATCTTCTCCCTACCTACATATGCTCAGCGGAGCCCACCGGCCAGAACTCGTCATCCGACGCCCCGCCAGCAGAGCCTGGTTGCTGTGTGCTCGCAGGGCCCCGGTTGGCCCCAGAGCCTCTCACCCTTCGTCTTGCTCTTCCTAATGAGCTCTTTGTGCGGAGGCTCTGTGGGCAGCTGGTGGGAAGCCAGCCTGGGGGGGGCTGGTTTCCACCAGCAGAGGGTCTGAGCTAAAAATCTACCTGGCGGCTACAGACTTCGACTTCGACCGGGGCCATTTACATAAGAACGGCCTTGCTGGGTCAGACCAAAGGTCCATCTAGTCCAGTAGCCTGTCTGCCGACAGCGGCCAATGCCAGGTACCCCAGAGGGAATGAACAGATCCCACCTGTCATCCATTTCCAGCCTCTGACAAACAGAGGCTAGGGACTCCATTCCTACCCATCCTGGCTAATAGCCATTGATAGATCTAACCTCCATGAATCTATCTAGCTCTTTTTTGAACTCTGTTAAAGTCCTGGTCTTCACAACATCCCCTGGCGAGGAGTTCCACAGGTTGACTGTGTGCTGAGTGAAGAAAAATTTCCTTTTGTTTGTTTTAAGCCTGTTACCTATTCATTTCATTCTTATCGTATGGGGATACATGAATAACTTTTCCTTATTCACTTTCTCAGTATCTGGCATGATTTTTATAGACCTCAAGCATATCCCCCCTTAGTCTCCTCTTTTCTAAGCTGAAAAGTCAGTTTTAATCTTCATAAAATACCCCTTCCAAGCCCCGAATCATATTTGTTGCCCTTTTCTGAACCTTTTCCAATGCCAAGAGATCTTTTTTCAGATGAGGCGACCCCATGTGCACAGAGTATTCAAGAGGAGAGAGTACCATGGATTTATGCTGAGGAAATAAGATATTCTCTGTCTTATTCTCTATCCCTTATTTGAATGGTTCCCAACAGCCTGTCTGCTTTTTTGACGGCGACTGCACACTGCGTGGATGTTTCCAGAGAACTGTCCACAATCCCTCCAAGATCTCTCTCTTGAGCGGTTGTAGCTAAATTAGTCTCCATCATATTGTATGTCTAGTTGGGATGATTTTCTCCAATGTGCATTACTTTACATTTCTGCCTCTTCTTCACTCACTCCCTTCCCCGGCCTCCAGCCAACAGGACCAGAGATGACCGGCCCCGTCTGGCCGCTGTGTCTGGTTCAATGGTGAAGAGCAAGAGGGAAAAACAGAGAAGAAGAAATATCACTCTTCCTCCAGACAAATCTGCTGCTGCTACAGCTGCCCAAGTCTTCTTGCGAGAGGAACCGGGCCCCTACCCCGCCAGCTTGGCTCAGCACTGGGAGGGGGACCAGGGCAGGACCTGGGGGTGTGCGGATCACGGCTGGGGGGTGCTCCTTCGGGTCCAACTCCCTCTACCCCCTGCAACTACCCTCTACCCCCGCCCTGCACCTTCTCCTGGCTGCCTGCAGGGACGCTGACACACAGGGACCTGCTGCATGCGGCAGGGCTAGCAAACCAGGCGGCCTCAAAACACACAAGGCTGCCTTTTAAAAAAAAAGGGGGCAATTTAAAAGCAATCGGTTTGGGTCTCGCTTGATTTGCCCTCTGGGTTTGCAGCCGTTCGGGTGCCCGTGGGTCGAGCGTCCGGCTTTCCTTTGCAGCGGGGCGGGGGTGACAAAGGCCCTGCTCTTTCGAGGAAAGCCACGGTTCTCGCCCCACCTCGTGGCTTCAGGGACTCAGCGGGTCAGCCCTCGAGGGGCTCCCAAGAAGCGTGCGAGAGCAGGCGACATGGCCACCAGCCCAGAAAAGCGGGAGAGGGCTCGGCTAGCCATTGCTACCTGCCTCCAGCCTCTCCTCA